CACCCCTGTTTTATACAGTATGTGTCCTCTAAGCTCTCCTGTTAAATGTTCATATATTTTACAGTTTTAATCCCTGCCGGGGCTGTGGGTAACATTTGGCTGCTAACTGCTAATTGTAGCACATTAGCATTGAGGCACGTTGCTGGTGTGAAAAAAAAAATACCGTAAATAAATAAATAAAAATGGAAGGTGTTTAATTAACACGTGAATAAATACAGGTTGACCTAGTTGTCATGATGTTGTTATGGCGCCGCCAGTGGATTTTGATAAAAATGTTCCCGTTTTCCCTTTTTTTTTTTTTTTTTTTTTTTCTAATGTTCGGTGTAGTACTTGTTTCTAACGCGTGTCAGTTGTTCAGTAGTCGTGTTGTTTTTGTGGGGTTTTTTCTGTGTTGGTGTAAAGTGAGAGCAGGTGGCGCACGCTGCTACTCTGGCCGCGGTGGGCGGAGTAAGAATTCAGAGGAGCTCGCTCCCATTGGCCGGCGTCACGGCGCTGGGGCGGAGCCTCGGCCAAACAAAGTGCACAAGTTGTACTTCTCCGAGTCAGTGAGGAGTAGAACAGTGTCAGAGCTCGGTCATCAGGTGACCGACAACAACAACAGACAACAACAGACAACAACAGCAGCGTGAAGATCCAGACTTTTGGTTCCGTAAATTACGCGTCAACAGCGACTGAACCGGTTCGACAAAAACCCAAACAGAGCGACTATGGATTTGGCGTTTGTGGCGTGTTTGACGCTCTGCGTCTGCGCTTGGTTCGCATCCGCGGAAAGACACAGCGTGTACTGGAACAGCACGAACCCAAAGTAAGTGCCGAACTTTAAATACCTGTGTTTGTGTTACTGCAGTAGGAGTACTGTGTAGTGTGTGTAGTAGTATGTGTTTGTGAGTAGAAAGTACAACAGAAATCACTGCTCTCTCAGTGCGTCCGTGCGTCCGTGCCGGCGCGCGCACTTGAGGAGCGGTTCTGACTCTGATTTTTTTTTTTTTTACTATATTGAAAAAATGACTCTGAAGTTGTGAGTGACGGGATTCCAGACTGTTGTGTAAAAGGTTCCGGGTTCGATTCCGTGTAGTTCCTCATTTCAGAATGATTACTGTCAGGGCAGGGAAACATGCGTAAAAGCTGCGTCCAAATCACTCTGCTGACTGTAGTAAAGGGACAAACCGACCTTTTTTTTTTTTTTTTTTTTACACTAAAACACTGTGACTTTAACAGTTAGTACCAGCATTCGCCTGTGTCGTCACGGAGGTCCGTGAGGCCGTTTAAACTAACAGGAGGCTGAGGGCGAGATGGGTCGAATGCCCAGACAGATGGACAGATTCAACACTATATTTAACCTCAACATACACACACACACACACACAACACTGCCGTAGAAAATAGACTGACAAGTATGAACTTGAGTGCTGACGTCCGTACTGCACCTGTGTGTGTGTGTGTGTGTGTGTGTGTGTCAACAACAGATTACTCACCTCAGTGAGTTTTACTCATTATCATATCTTTAAATCGATGCCAAGTCAATACTTGTGGTTTGGTTTTTTGTTTTGTTTTTTCTATTTTTGGTTGATAAAGACATGAGTCATGTATAAGGAGAAGGAGTAAAGGAAGGAGGTGCGGCTCACTTTTCTCCCAGAGCCTTGAAATCTCATGCCCTCATGAGGAGGCGCACGTTGAGGCGGAGACTGAGATGAACCACCGCTGACAGGAGCAGCACCGGAAATGGACCGAGGTGGACACGCCCACTGGCAGCGTGTCCGAGCCACCTGGCCCCGCCCACAACCGGAAGTCCAGACAGGTGTAAAAACTGGTCGAACAATACGAGGGGAGGAGAGGGGGTTCTGACAGAACCAGTGGAACCACAACAACGACCAAACCATCAAAGACACAGTCTCTGAGTGTGTGTGTGTGTGTGTGTGGGGGGGGGGCTTGGGGGGGGGGGGGGGGGGGGGGGGGGGGGGCTGTCGCATACACTGCTGTGTAGTTTGTTTTGGGATCACAAATGTAATGCAACACGACCACTCAGTGGGATCGATGGAGCTTGACAGACGCGCGATATCTCAGCGCGATTTATTGAGCTTTTAGCGTGAGCCGCGTGATCCGGCCGACGCTTGAAGGACGGGGTTATTTTATAGCTGAAACTAAAGCACCGTCCTCGCTTCTCCGCTGCCGACATCGATCGATTAAACCCCGGCCACTGAGACGAAATTAGGGGCCAGAGCCATTATAGGCCTTTAGTCCTGTCTTGATTACATTACCGTGTCTGTA